ACAACTTTAATCCCAGCACTTTGGAGGCAGAGGCAGGCAGATCCTTGTGAGTTCAAGGCCAGCCTAGTCTACAGAGCAAGTTCCAGGACAGAGAAACCCTGTCTCCAAAAAATGAACAATTAACAAGCAAACAAGCAAACAAAATCTGTTTAAAGATAAAATGTGACACAAACAGAAATTAAGAATGTATACATAAACAAGATGTTCTGCTAAAGAATTTGCTATGATGAGCTTTATAGCAACCACCGAGACTGGAAGGTTCTGGAGGTTTCCTGTACCTCTTCAGAGTTGTTTGCATTGAAATTTTTTTTTTTTTAAGGAAGGGGTACTCTATTACCTGTGTTAGTTTCTTGGTCAGCTGTAATAAAGTGATTCAGAAAATTCTTGTCTCATACTTATGGAGGCAAGAATTCTGCCATGGAGGTTTTGGGAGGCATTCTTGGTGTGTACACTGGAGGGAAGAGATCTTCTCTTGCCTCTTCCAGCTTTTGAAGTCGCAGAAATTTTGTTTATGTTACCATAACTGCAATCTTCATGTAGTCTTTCGTGTGTGTGTGTGTGTGTGTGTGTGTGTGTGTGTGTGTGTGTGTGTGTGTGTGTGTTTGCATGCGTGGGGGTGCATGTGTTCCTGTAGGTGGGTGTATGTACCATAAGCATACAGGTGCTTGTGGAGGTCAGAGGTTGATATTGAGTGTCTTCTTTGTTCTCCACCTTAATTTTTGAGACAGTCTGACACTGACTGAACCTGGATCTTACTGGTTTCATCTACGCCGGCCAGCAAGTGCCTGTGACCTCCCTGTCTCCACTACCTGGTACTGGGAGTGCAGGCATGTGCTGTCATACCCAGCTTTTTTAAAGGTGAGTTCTGGGGGGTTGAATTTGGTTCCTAATACTTGTCTGGCAAGCACTTTACTGAGTGAACCATCTCATGGTTATACTCTTCCTTTTGTATAAGTCTGTGTTTGTGGCCAATTTCTCACTTTCATAAGGGTATCAGTTATGGTGGATTAGGTCCACCCTAGCAATTTCATCTTAACTTCATTATATCTGCAAAGACCTTACTACTAAGTAAGGTCACATTCTTAAGTATTGGGTTATAGGATATCAGCATAATTTGTGGGGCAGGGGGAAGGTATGTAATTCAATACACAAATACCACTCATTGGAAGTTTTGACTCATTGTCTCAAACCCAGCGCTTGGTCACACTTGCTTGCTAGCTATAATTCAGCTTTTATACAAATCAGCCCTGAACGCTGACATAGAAGAATATACTTTATGGAGGTCAGAAGGAATCAGAAGACACTGGTCAGGTACCTGGATCTCTATGCTGACATAAAACAGGACAACAGAATTGGGTCATAAAACACTGAGTTGTGAGTAAAGCATGAGTCGGATGATCCAGCTCTGATTAATTAATGCAGGGCAAAGTAGATTTCCAAGATACAGTTCAACTTCATGCAGCACAAATTTCATTCAACACATTCAATTAATCTCATCGACAATGACTTAAACACAAGATAATTTAGTCTGTGTGCTAGAAATGGCTGACGGTAATGCTGCTTGACTCTTCCTCTCTGATCTCTTCCTGAACTCGCTGCAACTCAGCTTGCTCCCTTAATGGCTGGCTTGATTCTCTCCTTTTTGGCTCTGATATGGTTTACTTCTAGCTTTCTTTCCAGTTTGAGGTCAAAGGGTGGCACTAAAGAAGTAAAACCCCAACTATTTAAGTTCCATATAAACAAAGGAAATTTTAACAAAAGAGAAAGTACGCCTTTATTGAACAGGTATCAAGGAAAAGCCACACATTACACATGTATTTTAAAATGAATCTTAAAACAAGAATACAAGTAATTGGAAAAAAGCAAAAAAGAAGGATCATGAAAACACTCATTTAAAAACTCAGAAAAAATGGGGCCGGGCGGTGGTGGCGCACGCCTTTAATCCCAGCACTTGGGAGGCAGAGCCAGGCGGATCTCTGTGAGTTCGAGGCCAGCCTGGTCTACCAAGTGA